AGGTAATCAACCAATAATAACTTGGTGAACTCAAGATAATGAGGCCTTCTGTTGACTACATCTGCTACATCAGTTTCATTTCCATGTGAAAATAGAGATGGTTTTATTCGGTCTTTAAATACCTGCTCTAAACTTTGCGAATACTTTCAATATCTGAACCAGTACAAAAAGCTGCGATTTTAATGGAGTATTTTTTTTTTTGGAATATCAATGGTTCAGAAGGCGCAGCAGTTGAGCGCAACCGCTGCTAAAAAAATCGGTGATCGTTATGCGTAATGTGTCCGTATTTCGAAGTAGAGTTAAATGTACTTCTTTGCAATATTTTGTACTTCAGGTCCTGTACTTCTCCGATCTTCTGGACGATCGTCAAGTCGCCGGGGATCGATTGCATCATACCTGCCAGCTGTAAAGGGCGCTGGTGGTGTCGTGCAATTGGTTGGCTCCTATTTATTCGAAATGCGTGGGGCCGGGTACATCCCCAAGGTTTGGAGGGTAATCAGTGTTGCGTTCATCCCGAAAGCCGGAAAAGGCTCTCATGTTTCCCCTATGAGTATTAGGCCTATCAGTCAATCTTAGTTTTTGCTACACACGATAGACTGATAGACCTGGACATAAGAAACGCGATTCCTCGTGACTGTCTTTCAAGAGCTTATTGCAAGAAAAGGTCGGTGGATACCGTCCCGCGCACATTGGTAACGTGGTAAGAGGAAGTCTTCACGCATAAAAATTATGCAGTGGGGGCCTTCCTCGATATCGAGGGGGCTTTCAACAATGTCCCTCAAGAGGCAATAATCAACACTATTCAAAATCAGGGCGTTGAAACCAACCTAAAAAGGCTTTTCTACAGCGTACTTCGTGACAGAACTGACGCGGCAGAGTGGGAGAGCGCCTGCACTCAGCGCAGAGTTAATAGAAGCACTCCGCAAGGCGGTGTTCTATCTCCCCTGCTCTGGATCGCGGTTGTAAACGACCTTCTAGATTGACTGGAAAAAGTGGGCTGTCGGATGATCGCCTATGTAGATGATGTGGAACTTTTGGTTAAGGGACGATTTCTAGACACCCTATGATCTGGCTCAAGGTTTCCCGAACCGGGTTACTAAGTAAGTGGGCAATCAATGGCGGCCTCTCAGTAAATCCTTGAAGGATGGAACTGGCCTTGTTTACCAGGAAGTGTTCGTTTACGGCTCAGACAGGGTATAGTACCTAGGCTTGACCCTGGATGGGAAGCCTAACATTGAGGAAAGGGTAAGAAAGGCGACGGTGGCCTTGTCCTGCTGTGGGGGAGCTATCCGTAAAAGGTGAAGTCTCTCGCCCAAAGTAATTCACTAGCTTTATGAAACCAGATTCAAGCCTATCTTATTTCAGAGCCCTTGTCTGGTGGAACTCTATAGAGAAGGCTACACTTGTAAAATAACTGCAGCGTTTACAGTGGATCGCCCTAATCGAAATTAGTGAAGCATTAGGAAGCACACCTACACTGGCGCCTAACGTCATGTTGAGCACGGGGCGTGCGGATATTGCAGACAGGGTGGTCGCAGCACGAACTGTGATTATGTTTAGGGAAACTTTCCACCAAAACTATGTTCAGGCTTCCGGACTCCTGCAGGGTCTTTGAGTTAAAAATAGCTGCCATCAAGGAAGCGGCCAACTCCATGCTAAAGGGTGTGATGGTGCGTTCGAAATCGGCCTCTTTCCTCCTGCCGTACACTCTTGGATGGTTGGGCCTAGCGTTAGCTCGGCGAGCGCCAGACCAACACGCATTCTCCGTGCACGCGATAATGAAATTGCGAACTCTATTAAATACCTAATAAAATGACAAAAGAAAGTGATGCTCGTTTTGTGACACTTAAAAATACTTTTTGCAGCGAAAGACACGAGTGACCCATGTTACCCCTTAAAGGGGCCGAAAAACACGTAACCTCTCAAGGGCTAACGATGGGGGTTCTGACAGGCCATTGGGGGATTGGAATACGCGCGGTAAGGCTAGGAATTTCAACTGAACCCATTTTGTGTCAGCTGTCAAGAGGAAAATGAGGTGGAATCATCTCCACACTTTCTTTTAAGGCCGGTCCACATAGAACTTTCGCGTTGACTTTGGCGTTGGTTTGCCAGAACGCACGTTAAAAGTATGCTTGCTACAATGAACGCTTGGCAGCGAATGCTTGGGCCACTAAACTAACGTACTAACGACAAAGTAATTTATTATTTCATATCAATAATTGCATTAAAAACGATATTTCTTGCCCGCACTTGATTAAAAAGGAAAAATATGTCACATAATTTAATTTATTTGCAACAGCTGACGAGCGACGCACGCGAAAAGTTGAGAGTAGGCCATCTTTTTGCTTAGTGTTGGCGTGAGCGTGGTTGAATTTTGCTATGTGGACGGCTGCATTTGAATTCATGTATTCATAGTCAGCTGTTGAAGCGACGCCAACGCCAACGCAACGCCAAACTTCTATGTGGACGGGCCTGTAGACTGTCCAACTTTCGCGGGGCTAAGATGGAAGCATTTAGGCTCCCACTTCTTCACTAACACTGAGCTCCCAGGGGTCGAAATTAGCGTTATTCGAAATTTGGTAATCGGCTCGCGGCGTTTCACTACTAAATTAAGTGTCTTCATTCCCGAATCGCGGGACTCGTGATCGAGTGATTACTCCTTTCGAATCGAATAAAACAAAATGACACCTGTTATCTTCACAATATAATTTAAACGGGCGAGACACACTCGCTATCGAATTCCGCGATCTCAAAATCAAATTTCGATTCGAGTTGCGTTTGATATTGAGTGCCGCGATTCGAACCCTGTACTTCCTTGGGCTATGAAATAGTTGGTCACATTAGTTACCTTCTGAACGGCTTGATACAATAGCTGTCAAATTCAACCCTAAAAAGTACACACTAACATGTTGTCTCAAATGATCAGAAAAATATTACTATCATCTAACACGCAACTGTTCAGTTGATCAGAATTACACAACAACGCGTTCAGAAGGCGCAATCGCAACAGTTACTCAGCTGTAATTAAAATATTTTCTCAGTTCTTATAATTAAAATTTTGATCAAAATTATTTTTTTTATATTGTTTATTTTTTAAAGAAACTTGACATCAAAAAATTCTATCTGTTTGTTAGTTTTGTAGAAAAAATAACAGTTTTGCATACTTTTGTTTCTTTGCTGTCATAAATTCGAGTATTATAATCAAATTTTTGCCGAAAATTGGTAACTTGCAGACTTACCACCATGTATGGTGGTAATGTTTCCACTTCAATCTGGACATCCCAGCAATTGCGGTGTCTTGCAGCGAATAGCCACGTGGACGTTTAAGTTAAATCCTTGAAGACCTTCCATAAATTCTGCTGTGAAAAAAATTATTGTAAAAGCAGAGTAGAGGGTATGGGATTAAAAACAGCTGCGGATTTCCAAAACGTGGCTAAAGGTGCCTAAAGCTCTTGAAGGAGTGGATAACTATTCCGTTAAAAACTAAATTTATAAATGTAGGCGACTCTCGCTCATTCGTACAAGTTTACTGAGTTTTGAATTTCTATGAAGTACATACCCAGCAAACACAGTTTCAAACGTTTGAGAAAAGTGTATTTCTCAATTTGATATCAAATGTTTTTCTCAAATGATTCTCAAATTGAAAACGAGGTTTAAATTTTACATTTGAAATTTATTTGAGGTTGATTTGAAGAAAGATGGCAAGTGTCAAACGATATAAAAATGCGCAGTAAAATCAAAAATTGTAAGAATAAAATTAAGATCAATTGAAAAAAAAAACAATGAATAGAAAAAAATGTTCAAACAGAAAGCCCACAAATAGTGGATTTGATGTTTGCGCGGATTGAAGAAGCTGTAGCCCTTCAAGACAAATGTATTATAAATTACTTTATCTTGATTGTTTCTTTTGTTATGTACATACATATGTACATCGCGAAGAAAAAATAAATATGAAATATACATTTCCTATAATAAATGTTATTTCCACATTTGAAGTACAATTGATAAATAACCTTTGACATTGATTTGAGAGTTAACGATATTCTCAAAAGGAGATCAAACTCCCCTTTTTATTGAGAAAGCTGTAATTTTCAAACCAATATCAAATCATTTCAAACGTTTGACATTTGAGAAAGGCTTTGATTTCAAATCATTCTCAAATGTATATCAAACCTAACTGTTTGCTGGGTACATAAATATCTATTATGTACTTATCTAAATATGTATAGAGTATTTTGAAACTGCGTATACGCTTACTATTTTTGAAGTGTTTTCTAAAATTTCCCCCACTACTTCTTTCTACTCATCTAAGGCAGTATAAAATTTCTTCGCCTGTTTTTTCTGACCCAATTTTTCTTAATTTCGTATACACAATTTTCTCACTCATAATTCATCATTTTCTCATTATGCTGCTGTCAGAAACATTAGCACTCAAGTAAAAATCCTTAAAATTATTTCACACTCACGGCCAGCTTCCTTTTGGCAATTAAACGCCACACTTTGCATCTTCAAGCATTGCCGCCTTGCTGCCAGCTGTTAAGGCGTGTGTAATGATCACTTTAAATTAATTTACCAATCAAAAAAAGTGCGACCCGCAGAGTGATTCGTAGAGCACACAGCTGAAGAACACCAAAAGCGCAGACTATGCAACATCAACGAACATACAAACTTATCCAATGCATTCAAGCGGGCGCTTATCCAAGTTTACCTAACTAATTTGTAGTTTTCGGTCTTTGTTGCTCAGTTCCTAAATCCATTTGCATGTCAACCCATTGACATATTGCCACATTGTCGAAGATTTACGTTCGCACTTCACTTTTCAAGTAAACCGCATGTTTCAGCATCGAACTCTTCTTTTAAGCCATTTTAATTGAATAAGCCTTAACGTTATTTCACCATTCACTCAAACATACATGCATACATATAAGTATGTATTTATGTACGTATGTACATATGTATGTAGAAGCAATATTTTTTAAATTTTGTTTTTGTATTTTCAGGTAAAAGCTTTACGCTTACAATCACCGTCAACACCAGCCCAATACAGGTGGCCACCTATGCCAAAGCTATTAAAGTCACCGTTGATGGGCCGCGTGAGCCGCGATCCAAGACAAGTAAGTTGGGTAAACCTGTTCGAAAGAGGATCCCGATACCTAGACATTCTCCTTCTCCCACAATTACTACTACTGTCAGTTCTACCAACACAAACACTTGCCAAACAGCTTCTCGCGAATTACAAATAATGGACTCACAATCACCAATCAAACATTCCCCTCACACATCGCTATCGCCGCCACGAATGTCCTGCGGATCGTTTGAGCAGAGTGATTGTGGTGATTCCATGGCATATAACGGTGAGAGTTTCCCCTCTTATAGTATGCATCGAATATCGCGAGATATATTCATTCACAACGCCCGTGTAAATACAAACCATCAAAGTATATCGATTGAGACATGACATTTTTACATTATATTTAATTTGACATTTTATTTTTTATGTGCATTTAAACTGTTAACATTCCTAAAGTTCAAATCCTAAATTGTTAGATAGCAATTAAAATAATATCC